AAAGAAAATTTAGAATTGGTTTCAATGTGAAGTCCTGATAAGTTCTTAGATTTCTCAGTTCCCTAAATCAAAATCTGCCGACATTGCCTCTGTCAATATGGGATACTAGAATAAAATATGTGACACATAAAGTGAAAGAAAGATACGATTAGAGGTAAAAATAGTGCAGTACAGCTTCATCTAATTTGGTTAATGTATAATTGAGGATTTTTCTGCGGTTTTTGTTGAATGGTGAATTTATCTTTCTTATTCTAAGCTTTTAATGTGAAAAAACAATAACTATGCCCCAAACAAACTTCAAAACCTTTTTGAAAGCTCCTGTTATACTGGTCAAACTTGGTGCAGTTAGTTGTAGGTAACGGAAATTGATTGTTACTATTTTGGTCTTTACTGGGCATCTTTGATTCGAAGCAGAAAGCTCTGAACTGCATGAACTTGTTCTTAAGTGCTGTTTTTTCTTTATCGTGTATTTGCAGATTCAAGCTGCTTTCCGAACTGATGAAATCCGAAGGACCCCACCTACACCCCAAGATGAAATGAGGGCAGGGATGAGTTATTTCCATGAGACTATCTGGAAAGGTGTCCCAAAGTTTCTGCGCCGTGTGGACACTGCTCTTAAGAATATAGGGATCAATGAACGAATTCCATACAATGCCCCCATAATCCAGTTTTCTTCTTGGATGGGTGGAGACCGTGATGGTAAATTTCTTGATCCCTCTACATGGCTATAAGGATATAAATTTTATGGTTGAGCAGGCATATAAATTATATATATTATGATTTCTGTATGTTGATTAACTGACACAATCTTTTGTACAATAAACGCAGGCAATCCAAGGGTAACGCCTGAGGTCACTAGAGATGTGTGCTTATTGGCCAGAATGATGGCTGCTAACTTATACTATTCCCAAATTGAGGATCTCATGTTTGAGGTATTTTGTTATTAGCCCAACTACCGAGCATAAGATTTTTTTTGTCCTTTTTTCGTTCTTCTAAGTTCTAACTTTTGCATTTGTAGCTGTCCATGTGGCGCTGCAACGAAGAGCTTCGCGTTCGTGCTGATGAACTCCACCGTTCGTCAAGGAGAGATGCAAAGCATTTCATAGGTAACCTTCAAATCATATCTCCATTTTCAAACTTACACTTGGATACAAATTTGTCCAAAAAAATCCAACCAGTTTTAACCAATCACTTTTTTTAACTCAATTCTAACTCAACCCCACTATCCTCAATATTATCAATATAATTAAATAATATCACTCAATCATTCTTACACATTACATCAGCTTTAATTCACTATTTATCCACACAAATAATTTGAACTAACCATCACTTCACATCATATTTCTCCTACTTTTACATCAAATCAACTTTAATTATTTTATTTAAATATTATTTTAATATAAACTCAAAATCCCACTAACCATACCACTTTTTTCAAAACTAACCATACCAATCCAAAAAAAATCCCAACCAAATCAAAAAATCTTATATCCAAGCATCCTCTTAATTTTCCTTTCGATTTCATGCAGAGTTTTGGAAGACGATCCCATCAAGCGAACCCTATCGTGTCATTCTCGGTGACGTTAGGGACCGTCTCTACCAGACTCGTGAACGCTCCCGTCACCTATTAGCTCACGGCACATCCGACATTCCAGAAGAGGCCACTTACACCAATGTGGAGCAGGTCTATTTCTCCTCTATATAATATATCATTCAAATTCAGCATTTCACACAAACCTGACATGCTATTTTTTAAAAAAAGAAAAAGTCGAAATAAGTAATATTTGCATGAAAATTATTTTCGAGTAAATCCAATCATTTTTAACCAATCACTTATTTAACTCAAATCTAATCCAACATTAACTCAACACCACTCTCCTCAATATTATCAATATAATTAAATAATATTAATCAATCATTCTTACACATTACATCATCCTTAATTCACTATTTATCTGCATTATTTTATCTAACCATCACTTCACATCATATCTTTCCTACTTCTACATCAAATCAAATCAAGTTTAATTATTTTATTTTAAATATTATTTTAATATAAACTCAAAATCTCAGTAACAACTAACCATACCACCAATTTTATCAAAATTAACCATATCAAACTAAAAAATTCAAACAAAACCAAAAAAATTTATATCCAAGAGCTTAAAAACGTCTATAATAATGTCTCCACAGTTCCTCGAGCCACTCGAGCTGTGCTACCGATCCCTATGCGCGTGTGGTGACCGCCCTATAGCCGACGGCTCCCTCCTCGACTTCCTCCGCCAGGTGTCCACCTTCGGCCTCTCCCTCGTCCGCCTCGACATCCGCCAAGAATCCGACCGCCACACGGACGTCCTCGACGCCATCACCACCCACCTCGACATCGGCTCCTACCGCAACTGGCCCGAGCACCGCCGCCAGGAATGGCTCCTCTCCGAGCTCGGCGGCAAACGTCCCCTCTTCGGCCCCGACCTCCCGAAAACCGAGGAGATAGCCGACGTCCTCGACACCTTCCACGTCATCTCCGAGCTCCCCTCCGACTGCTTCGGCGCCTACATCATCTCCATGGCCACCGCCCCTTCCGACGTCCTCGCCGTCGAGCTCCTTCAGCGCGAGTGCCACGTCAGACGTCCTTTGCGAGTGGTCCCGCTCTTCGAAAAGCTCGCTGACCTGGAGGCCGCGCCAGCTGCCGTGGCGCGACTCTTCTCGATCGACTGGTACAAGCGGAGGATCGACGGCAAGCAGGAGGTGATGATCGGCTACTCGGATTCCGGCAAGGACGCTGGGCGGCTTTCGGCCGCGTGGCAGCTGTACAAGGCTCAAGAGGAGCTCGTGAAGGTGGCGAAGGAGTATGGGGTGAAGCTGACTATGTTTCATGGGCGGGGTGGGACGGTGGGGAGGGGTGGGGGGCCCACCCACCTGGCGATATTGTCTCAGCCGCCGGACACGATTCACGGGTCGTTGAGGGTGACTGTGCAGGGGGAGGTTATCGAGCAGTCGTTTGGGGAGGAGCATTTGTGTTTTCGTACGCTGCAGAGGTTCACGGCTGCCACGCTGGAGCACGGGATGCACCCGCCGGTGGCGCCGAAGCCCGAGTGGCGGGCGCTGCTCGACGAGATTGCGGTTGTGGCTACTGAGGAGTTTCGGTCCATTGTCTTCAAGGAGCCGCGGTTTGTCGAGTATTTCCGACTCGTAAGTGACGACTCTTTTCGATTATCTTTGTTTGATTATTAATAGTTGTTTTGAGTAATTACCGAAAAAACACCCTATGACCGGATTTTTGGTCGGAAAAATTTTCTGGGAATGGAAGATTTAAGGAAAAAAGGATTTCAAAATTACAAGGGAGAAAAAAAATTCACTCTGAATTTAATCATTTATGGTTCTGAATGACTTTTTTTTTTCTTTTTTCTTTTTCTATTATAATAATACTGTAGGCCACGCCAGAACTGGAGTACGGGAGAATGAACATTGGGAGTCGTCCGTCAAAACGGAAGCCGAGTGGGGGTATTGAATCACTGAGGGCTATTCCGTGGATCTTTGCTTGGACTCAGACGAGATTCCATCTCCCTGTTTGGCTGGGATTTGGGGCGGCCTTCAAGTACGCTATAAACAAGGACATAAGGAACCTGAAGATGCTCCAGGATATGTATAACGGGTGGCCTTTCTTCAGAGTTACAATCGACTTGGTTGAGATGGTTTTTGCCAAGGGCGATCCTGGAATTGCTGCTTTATACGATAAGCTCCTTGTGTCTGAAGACCTGTGGGAGTTTGGCGCTAAACTCAGGTCCAACTATGAGGAAACCAAAACCCTTCTGCTTCAGGTAATTTTTTTTTTTTTTCTTCTGCTCATTTACTCTGTTTATAACAAATATAAGAATGTGAATTATTATTTAAATTTCTTTTGCCCTTTTTTTCGTAGATTGCTGGACATAGGGATCTTCTGGAAGGAGACCCGTACCTGAAGCAACGGCTCAAGCTGCGTGATTCTTACATCACGACACTAAATGTGTGCCAGGCGTACACTCTGAAGCGAATTCGTGACCCGAATTACCATGTGAAGCTGAGGCCTCATATTTCGAGGGAGTACATGGAATCTAAACAAGCTGCAGAACTTGTGATGTTGAACCCCACAAGTGAGTATGCACCTGGATTGGAGGATACACTCATACTGACTATGAAGGGTATTGCTGCTGGACTTCAGAACACTGGTTAACTTTTATGTGTGTGCACTAAATGTTTTTTTTTTTCCCTGTTAAGAAAGAGAGAGAGAGAGAGAGAGATGGAAGGGAAGAGATTGAGATCTCTCCCTGTATTTATTGCATAGGCTCGCTCTTTATGTTGACGAATAACAATAAAATTGTCTTGTACTCAAAAAAAGACTTAACGGTTTGGTGTGAATCAGTTTCCATTTTTATGATGCTTCTTGAATGAATTGTGCTCGTCTTTTTCTTCAGTGGATGCTTTGTGTTGCGAAGTGTGGTGCATGGTTTGATTGGTATTCTGGTGGCCCTTTTGTAGGTTAATTGTGCCTAAAGGGCTTTTTTCATGTAGTAAGACTTGAATAATTATGTTCGAATAAATTACAGATGCTAAGCATACTACAATGCGATCTGCTTCTTTTCTCTTCTTTTGTTAAATACGTTCTGTAAATACAAATTCTTATCAATTCAAGAACAAACAGAAAGATTAAACTTATTAGTATCAACAATTATATCTCTAGATGAACTTTTGGATTTAACTATTCAAGTAAAAAGTTCAATTATTCTTCAAATGTCATCATAGCACCATCTGTATACACAATCTGTTTCCTCATAAGAAAACGAACTACACGCTACATACAATCTCACAAACTGTGATATCAGTATTCAAAGTAGGGGCTTCGAAAAAAGGGAAATAATCTGAAATGTCTTAGACGACTCTTAAGTGAAACTCCCACACTGAAAAGCTGGTATATCTACCCTAAGCCACCTGCAAATTATTAGGTAAAAGTTAGATTGCTCCAAAATCTGTCAAGATATCACTAGTGACTAGACTAGACCTACTAGGCTACTACTAAGAACAATTTTTCCAAGAAAAAAAGGTTGAATAGCAATGAAAATCGAGAAAGCACCTTCAATGAGGAGCAAAAATTCTTGAATAAGGCGAGATAACACCGAGCTGCACATACTTCTTCGAGTCACTGGGATCGGGACCCCACCTTATCTCGCTCAAATTAGGCGTCTCCACAAAAGTCATAGTGAATTCCCCCACTTTTTCAGCCTTGCCTCTTTTCCCGGCCCTAAGTACAAGGTTGTTCCTATTGTAAGAAAAGATACCATTGACCAAGTGAATTATATCTCCGGGCTCGAAGGCATCACATTCGGGCCCCCACAGCTGGAAATGCACGGCAGCTGTCTCGTCTGCTGCCAGTGCAAGGCACGTCTTGTGTTGACCTTCTAATGTTACTCTCCCTTTGTCGAGAAGTATGAATTTGACGTTTATGTTGTTCTGTGCTGCCGGCACAATGTTCTTGAGAGGCTGCAGTGTGGGCTCCACTTCCATAATTTGTGACGTTTTTTTTTTTCTTTATTATTTTTTTTTCAGTAAAACTGCAAAGGAGATAATTAAACTTGGTTTGTTGAACTAAACTAAACTTGTTGCAATAACTTCATCATCAAAGAAAAGGGGAAGGGTTTAGTGAAAGCCAAAACCAAAGCCAGACATATGTTACACCAGAATCTATGATAAATTGGAACTGATTAAGAATATATAGAAAAATCGTAATTTTGCGAGTAGCTTACGGTGAAAATACACATCATAAACGTATGGAGGAGCGTGCCAAAATTCTCTAACTTATAAGCATAATTAGTTAAAATCATATAAAAATGAAATTAAGAAAAAAGATAAAATGGTATCATGATCATCAACTAAGATCCAAAAGGAAAATCTAAGGTTTTCACTCCAAATGAATGATGACTTGCTAACTGAAAAAGAAAATCAAACATTTTTAACTACTCCTAACGAGGAAATATACGGAGAGAAAGATAGCTACCTAACACAATTGCTTGCAACACATTTTATAGTTCAAAAGATTGTTAAAGTATCTTAGCTCCAAAATTTTCTCGCACACTTTATCCACCATCTCAGCACACAAATCAGTAGAGCCAATAATTTACATTCTATGATGGAAAAACAGTTAAAGAATAATTACGAAGAAGGAACGAAGAAGGAAAGGGGAATCCAGTTATGATTGCATCTCCAGCTGCCAACACGTGCTATAAGATTTTCAATCGGAGAATAAATGAGACAGCCTCACTGCCACATGAATGAGATTGATTGTATGCAAAAGTAGTAAAAAGCCAAAATATGTTTTCCCCAAAATCATAGCCCGCCAAAATGTTTCCCAAATACGATTTCTTTTTT